CTATCTTTCATTCCTTGGCATTAAACGCAAAGGTGGTTTGCACTGAATGCATGTAAGATTGCATATTGGCATGGTGGAAGATTGCTTGCAGTGGCTTTATAGCCAACATTTCTTCCAAGTTAAAATCACTTTTGTTGTAATCCTTTTATATTTCCTACACTTGTCCTTTTTATATTACTTATGTTTTTACTAGGTCGATAGAAGATTGACATCCTATAAACTTGTCAGTACTAATTTACTGTGTTAACATATTTGTTAACCTGTCTTCTATATGAATTTTTTTTTATATATATACACTTATTCCAATTTCTCTCAAATAAAGTAGTATTGAATTCGAATGTGCTTTGTCTTTAAGTGAAATGCTGAATTTTTTGCCAAGGAAAAAGTGTTCTGACTATCACAAAATAGAGCAATTTTATCTTATTTGTGTCTGAACTCCTACATTAACATTTACAATCAGATTGCTTCTTTGCTAGCTTGTAGAGGCGGCACCATATGCTTCTTCAATGTGATAATGCTAGTAGCCGCCTTACACCTCTAGGACGTGGTAGTGGTTTATTGGATGATAGGCGACCATGGATGGTGGTGGTCGACGACCATGTGTGGTGTTTGGTTTTGGAACAAATTGTCCAATTAGTACTTTATAGCCAACATTTCTCCAAGTTAAAATCACTTTTGTTGTAACCCTTTTATATTTCCTACACTTGTCTTTTTTATATTACTTATGTTTCTACTAGGTCGATAGAGGATCGACATCCTATAAATTTGTCAGTACTAATTTACTATGTTAACATATTTGTTAACCTGTCTTCTATATGAATTTTTTTTTATATATATACACTTATTCGAATTTCTCTGGAATAAAGTAGTATTGAATTCGAATGTGCTTTGTCTTCAAGTGAACTGTTGAATTTTTTGCCAAGGAAAAAGAGTTCTGACTATCACAAAATAGAGCAATTTTATCTTATTTGTGTATGAACTCCTACATTAGCATTTACAACCAGATTGCTTCTTTGCTAGCTTGTAGAGGCGGCACCATATGCTTCTTCAATGTGATAATGCTAGTAGCCGCCTTACACCTCTAGGACGTGATATTGGTTTAATGGATGATAGGCGACCATGGATGGTGGTGGTCAATGATCATGTGTGGTGTTTGGTTTTGGAACAAATTGTCCTATTAGTACTTTATAGCCAACATTTCTCCAAGTTAAAATCACTTTTGCTGTGACCCTTTTATATTTCCTCCACTTGTCCTTTTTATATTACTTATGTTTCTACTAGGTCGATAGAGGATCGACATCCTATAAACTTTTCAGTACTAATTTACTATGTTAACATATTTGTTAACCTGTCTTCTACACACACACACACACACACACTTATTCCAATTTCTCTCGAATAAAGTAGTATTGAATTCGAATGTACTTTGTTTTCAAGTGAACTGCTGAATTTTTTGAAAAGGAAAAAGTGTTCTGACTCTCACAAAATAGAGCAATTTTATCTTATTTGTGTCTGAACTCCTACATTAACATTTACAATCAGATTGCTTCTTTGCTAGCTTGTAGAGGTGGCACCATATGCTTCTTCAATGTGATAATGCTAGTAGCCGCCTTACACCTCTAGGATGTGATATTGGTTTAATGGATGATAGGCGACCATGGATGGTGGTGGTCGACGATCATGTGTGGTGTTTGGTTTTGGAACAAATTGTCCAATTTTGATTTCTCCTTTTAAAAAGAATTAGTACTTTCTAAATTGAAAAAGGATGTACTCAAAGTTTGTAATATATGAAACAATCAAAGTGTAGCATAATTATCCCAAGCACTTCTCACAGGTGAATTTGGGGTGTCAATGTGCCAAAGCTGCTTGTTGGCTCGATTTTAATAGGGCTCATGCTTGATTTGGTCAGGTCATCGGACATCAACAGATTGAATTGGGCTCAAGATGTAGGCCCGTCTATAGGGGTGGCGGCATTAAAGTTAAATAAAAAAGGGGAAAATTCATTTCTCAAATTTTTACTATATACTATTTCAAAAATAAGAAAACAACTTAAAAATTACTAAAATCGGATATTTAACACTCACACACACACACACACACACACATATATATAAAGGATTATTAATTAATTCATGAATCATATTTAATTAATTTGATTAATTAAAGGGAAAAATTCATTTCTCAGATTTTTATTATATACTATTTCAAAAATAAGAAAATCAACTTTCAAATTTCTAAAATCAGATATTTGACACACACACACACACACACACACACACACACATATTTTAACCCACCCCACCTCCACCGCCCCTACAGTTCCAGCAACCGTTCTGAAGACTACTCTGATTCTGACAACTATTTCGGTGCTCGTTTCGGCGACTGCTCTGATTTCGGTGAATATTCCGGTGACCGTTCCGCCGCCGATTTATTCCGAAAATTGTTCCAACTCCGATGATAACTCCGCCATATTTTTTTTATACAGTTGACACGATTTTTGACCTCTTAATTGCTGCTTATGACTAATAATAAAAAATGTGACATGTAAATTTGAATCGTGGCTCTACAAATTTGTGACTGTTTATATTGATTTGTAACCTATAAAAAATGACTGTGACTTGTGAACTCAAACTCGTGACAATGATCTGTGACATTAACGACGAAATATTTAGCTACAGTTAACTATTAAATTAATCGATCATACTGATCCGTGACCCGTTTATATTGATTTGTGACATATACAAAATGACCATAACTTGTGAACTCAAACCTGTGACCAGTAAACTGTGACCTTCACAATTTATCAAATTATTGGTTACAACTTATTTTATGGTGACAAATCAAGAATTTTATAGGTATTTCTTGGTCACACTTATTTTATCGAATTTTAAGGTCACAGTTTAACAATATGTCACATCAATAATCTTTCATTCCTTTTCAACTGCAAATTAAAATTTTTTATAGGTCACAAATTATTTTTCGACCACGCAATAAAATTTTTTGTAGGTCACAGATTGAAAAAATCAAAAGTTTTATTGGTCACAACTCAATTACGGTGAGTCACGATCACAATTTTAATTGGTCACCTCGATTACACGCACAAAATAATCACAATCACCTTCAACCCCATATCGCCGGCACGCTCGACACCCACAGCCGAATGCACACACAAAATAATCATGACCACCAATAATCACAATCACCAATAACCACGCACAAAACAGTAATCGACCACACACCAGATCTAATCGACTAATAGTACTGCGACGTTTTACAAAACCAGATCCATCATCTCGACAGTTGCTAACCACCAAGGCCATCAACAGCTATGCTGAACCACCTCATGTCATCTAAAATCTCAACCAGTTAAATCAGAGTGCTTACCTCAATATCCCTTTTGAGAAATTAGAAAGTAACAGCAAATTGGACCATCATAAACCTAGTTCCATCATTTGGGAAAATCTAAAACGAAGCAAGACCAGCAAGAAATGTTGGGGTGTAGAGTAACAGTATCCCAGTTTTACTAGAAATCAAGATCTGGTGGGATTTCTTGGAACCGACGATCCAAAATTTGGAAACTGAAGGTGTTTGCCTATGAATTCCAACATAGCCAAACATGTTGTTGTTAAAAGGATCATGTGATGGAGGTGGTGGTGTCACCGGAGAGGTGGTGCCAGCAGCGGTGGTACTGGCGGTGTGGGGCTGTGTGGTGGCGCCGAGGATATAGAGAGAGGAGAGAAAATCGTCCAACTTCCCCACCCCTACCTATATTTGATAGGATATAAGAGTTGAACTCTTGAAAAAAGTTGTCGGCTCAATCTCATCTCTATATTTGTTTAAGGACAGCACCAAATCAATTAATTGATCTACCCAACTTGATATAATGCATACTATGAACATGCAATTATCTTTGTTTTGCCCGTGCTTTTCATACAATTTTCTCTTGTTTTTTCATTCTTTTATTCGATATTTGCATCATTCATTCCAAAACTTATTTTTCAAGTTGCAATTTAATTTTCTTTTCATTAAAGTTGCATAATTAGTCAACAAAAAATGTCCGCATACATTTACGTGCTTGCATACGAGCTAAAGTAAGCAGACAATGCCAAATCCATGGTGTATGAAAAGTAGCTTTAGAATTTTTTTGATTGCTTATAGTGAAAATGATGTATCTCCTTGATCACACACGATTGAGCATTAATTTTGTTATGAATCATAATTTGAGATTTAAACATCTATGAAATTAGAGACTTACATCTATGAATCCAAAGATTACTCAGACTGGTGCGAGCAAACAATTATAATGATCTGACCATAGCAACTACAAAATGTTCGGAAATCTAAAAAAGACCCATTAAACTCTAATGGTAATTTTAACTTTGGGTGCATCAGAGTTGAGAAGGACCTTGGTGGTTGTGAATGCCCTCGTATGTTGTTACTACATACCTTTGATCCTCTGCGTCTCTTTCAACTCTCTTTTTCACTGGACATCCTTCAACCGAGCACCTGTAATAATTCCTGTAGATTCCATGTTATAATCACGTTTGGTGTCGAAGCTATTAATGCATGTCTAGAAAATAATACTAGATAGGATGGAGCATTATAAAATAACACTTAAAAGTACCTGAATTTTTCCATTATATTGTCTAATCATTTTCGATCAAATTTAAATACATTTGGGGATTGAGTGGTACAAAAAAGGATTTAACTCTTTTATTTTTTCTATAATATTTCTCGTCACATACAATCATCTCATGATATATTATTTGGTAGGAAGCATTAAATATTACTCAACATTAGGATAATTAGCATGAAACGTCCCTATCTTAATTATTAATGTTTGAAGCGTTCATACATTTCACTTTTTGACGTTTTCATCCTCAATTAAACATTTGATTGTGCAAAAGATTATTTCCATCAAATTTTTCATTTAAGTGAAGGGTATTTTCGTCTTAAATTTTTTTCCTCTCTCTTTCCATTCCAACCCATTTTTTCCTCTGTTTAAACCGTAGGAAAAAAATAATCATTTAACTCGTACATACAAGTTAGTTTATAATGTTTAGAGATAAGAGAAAATATTTATAACTTAAAATAATCATGGCTTGCAGAGCTTTAATGGTTGTGGCCAAGTTCGCCGCCATATCCACTGCTAAAGCTACTAAAACCACTACCAAAATCAGTTTGCCCATGTGTCATCAAAGAAGGTACTCAAATTACTTCTTATTTGTATTGGAAGTCGGACATCCCATTCTCTTCTCTTTTCTTTTCTTCTCATTGTCTTACCAGATACTTCCCTTTACATTGGCATTCACCATTTACGTTTCTATGGAGCTCAATTAGTGAATATGATGATTGAAGATAAGAGAAAACCGAAACCATAAATAAACTTACTTGAATCCACAAATCAAATGGTTATTTTCAAAGGTTTACACGTGAAAAAATGGGTTCAAATGGGGAAGGAAGAAGGAAAAAATTTAAGACAAAAATACCCATCACTTAAATGAAAAATTAGATAGACATTGATGAAAATGATGTTTTGCACAATCAAAAGTGTAATTAAGAGTGAAAATGCCAAAAAATGAAAGATATGAACGTTTTGTGTTAATCACCCATCATCATTATTAACACGTAGAAAATGCTAAAATCTTCATTATACTCTTTATCAAGCATGCACGAAGTATTGAACAAGATTGATAAAATACGAAATAAGTAATTAACTATTTTTTATAACATAATAGTGCCCAGTATTATTCAGTCATCTCTTCTAAATAATTGATAAATCTATGGTTGCGAACAATTTTTTGCTGTATCGAGTATCTATGCACAAAATATTGAACATGATTGATAAGATACAAAATAAGTAATTGACGACTTTTTCTAACGTAATAGTGTCTGGTATTATTTTCTGTTTTCTCCTCTAATAAATAGTTGATAAGGTTGTGACATGTTCATTTTTCTAGAAGGTCATAATCTCCACACAAGCGTCTAATTCCTATTCAAACCTGTCTCCTATGAATAGTTGATAAATCTATGGCTGTGAAGATTTTCTTGTTACCTAACAATTTTTTGCATATTCATTTTATAAAAGGTCACAATCTTAACATTAGTGTCTAATTCGAGGATGGATGGCAACCATTAGAATACTTGACTATAGATTTAGCCCTTGTTTGATTTTTGATAAAAAAAAAATGTGAAATGTATTGATAAAGAGTTGTGAATTCAATGAAATGTGTGTTTAAAATTAATTATAGATTTTGATTTAAATTTTAATTATTTTTAACTGTTATATTATAATAAGAAGAATAGTAATTTTTAAAAATGTGTGATTGAAAAATAAGGAAATTTTTTTAAGTTTACGTATAATATTATTTTATTGAAAAATGTGTGGTTGATAAAAAGAGAGAAAAATAAATTATAATTTAATAGGGGCCAAACGTGGGCCGAAACAAACAAATGCTTAGGGTCTATTTGATCCCCATTTTTGTATGTATAATGCATTTTGAAATAATAGATTGATAGAGAATGTATGGTTAAAAATGAAGGAAATTTTTTTGGGTTGCGTGTAATATTATTTTATTGAAAAATGTGTGGTTAAAAATAAAATATAACAAAATATATTTTGAAAAAAAATGAGAATCAAACAAGGCCTTAATATCTTTCTAAAAACATGACTTTCTATATGAACTTTGTCATTGTGTTTTGAAGCTCTAATTTAAACTAGAAACGTCGCCTTTAGTCATATTTTCTCAGGTTTCGAGCATGCTTGGTACAACTTAAACGCCAAAAAATAAGTTAAAAAGAGCCTCTTTTTTAACTTTTATTGACATTATGAAATATTGCGAGAAAAGCAGATATTTTTTGGCTTTTTTTAAAAAATTAAATTTAAGCTTAGCTANTTTTTAAAAAAATTAAATTTAAGCTTAGCTAAACACACTTTACATGTTTCACTAAGCTTAAAAAATAAGTAAATAAGTAAGTTTTAAAATTAATGGATATAAGTAGATTCTTTCAATTAAAAGTTGAAAAAAGTAAAATAACAAAGTGGTTCCATGTCGACAATATTAAAAAAAAAAACGTAGTTAAAATATTGTCTATTGTTCATTTGTACATGTTCCCAGTGATGCTAGTAGTGTAGAGTTCCTCTTTATTTTAAACAATAAATAAAATTTTTAAGGAGAAAAAAGTAAAACCAATAAGAATAATTATGCACCTTGGATTTGGGCTGTTTTTCACCATTTTTTTCCCATACTTTCTCCACTTGAAGCCATCGTCAAGTATCTCAATTTCTGACTTGGTTTTAAAAGCAACCTTCTCTGTGATTTCTTTATTCTCCCTTCTTCTCCTACTATCTCCTGATGCTGCAACAACAATATTAACGATGAAAAAGAAGATAGTTGTTTTTCTTTTATTCTATACAGTATAAACCATTACTGCCTATCCAACATGCCCTAAAAGGGTTGTTTGTTATTTGCTTACTGGCGTTGGGATCTTCGTGGTAACTGCTACTTCCTCCGGAGTTAACCACGTCATTTGCTGCATAAGTTTGGCTTCCGGGATAACCAGAGACGAAAAGTGGTAGATCGTCATTCGTCCAGTCATTGAACTCGAAGAAATCTGAATGCTCAAGGTTCATCTGGTACTTATATGGGTCCATGGTCGAACCGGGCATGTTTGTGTTGGGATAATTCTCAGCCATGTTTATAACCTGAATGTGCATACAGGTCTCCCTATATACATGTTGTTTGAGACCTCAATTTGTGTGTGTGTGTGTGGGGTGGGTTGGGGGGGGGGGGTTCCGGCAGACTTCGTAGGACGTCGAATGAAGTTTCGTAGGTGATCATTCTTCATTGATTTGGACAAGTGGCTAAGAAATTTATTTGTTTGTGTCGGGTCCAAGAATTGCCTAATGTAATCAGATCATGACTTAAATTATAACAGACAAGAATGTGGGGAATGTTATTGACGACTCGTGTAGACTTTGTGAGTTTGATTTGTTCGAGTAGGTCTTTTGCCTAGACCAACCCCTTCACCACGGGAGCTGGGTTACAAAGTCAATACACCAACACAGACAAATCATGGTTTGATTCCATGACTGATGACTCCCGTTAGATAGCACTAGTCTTTGCACCCACAAATCTTGTAAGATCAACTTGTACTATTTTTCAGCCCTATTTGAGTCACATTAATTTTTTCATTCTTATTCTTTTATTCATTTTCAATCATACATTTTTCAATAAAATAATACTTTCAATCACACCAATAACTTTGTTTTTTTTTTTTTCAATAACATATTCTCCACCACATCAACAGTAAAAATGCATTTTTATAAACAAAATGTGCACTAAACAAATCTCTCTTTATTTTTTGTCATATTCAATTATCATATCAAATATGTAATAATGACATATTTGATATTTTGTATAAAATAAGGTTAAATAAGGAAAAAGTATTAAAATCCTTTAATACTGATCAATGGTGATAAAAAGCACGTCAAAATTTTACAAATATGTCATGATAAATTATTAAAATATCTTTAATTGAAATAAAAAAATCAAATCCCATATATTATGTAACTTTTGCATGCTATTTTTAATTAGCTGATTTTTTCATTAATACTTTTTCTTTAAAATATGATTTTTTTTTTATTTTTATTTTTTTGTATGTGGGATTTATAAAATTTATTATGCAATAAAGATTCATAGAAAATAAGAATATAATAATGTAATTAATAAAAATATAATCTTTTGTAAAAAGGAAAAATGAAAAAAAATTTATGTGAATGATGTAGCAAAATAATCGACTGATTGTTAATTTATTGAAGTATAGATGAATGATAAAGAAATGAAAAAATAAAAAGTGATCAATATTTTAGAGAATAAAAATAGTTAAAAATTAATATATAAAGTGTTACACAATGTAATAGAAAGAGCGTGATTTGTTATTTCGATTATGAATATTTTGGTTTGTTTAACTATTTTTAATGATAAATTTGTACATTTTCTAACAGAGGTTGTTTTTATTACTATACTATAAAATGTACTAGCTAGGCAAATTATAATTTAAAAAACACGGTATATAAGGGCATGTTAGGCAGAAATTAAAATTGGATTAAAATTGAAAAACTAACCATTATTGTTGACTTTTATTAGACGAGTGAGATCCAATAACGTCTATATTTTTAATTTTAATTAGATTTTAAGCTTGTCCAAACATGCTCTATAGAAGATGTATTTTGTAAATTTTCTTAAACTATTTTGTCTGGTGCCGTAGACCTCGTGATGTTATGGGGATTGACCATTATCATTAAATTTCAAAAGGCCCCTTTCTTTGGATCTAGGGTCCCAAGAGTCAATTCACTTGTGGATTTAGGATTTGAACCATAAAAGGAGTCACAAAATAAGTTTAAGAGCCATTCACGACCGGGGATTACGGAATAAAAAAAAAGCCAAATGAATAAAGAACTTGGTTTTTGTTTATTTCATGATTGGTCTTTGCAAAAAGTCCATTCCATGACTCTATTAAGTTTTGTAGTTGATTGGCAAATTACGAGAAATGATACTCGAATGGGGACGATGATGTTTTAGTAGCATCTGAACAGAGATATCATATGAATCAACGTGCCCAACTTGTTTTTATATTAAAAATTAATTCCTCTACATTTTCTTTCTCCTTTCTTTCCTCTTTCTTTAAATGAGGGTCAAGTTAGCTAATGCTCGGATATTTAGAGCTTGTTTGGGAAGGATTAAAATCCAATTAAAATTGAAAATATAGCTGTTATTGAGTCTCACTCGTCTAATAAAAGTCAACTCTAACAACTATATTTTCAATTTTAATCCCTCCCAAGCAAGCTCTTAATCAAACTTAGTTGAACATCTCAATGAGTTTTGAGTATAACTTCTTTGACAAACAAGCAAACTTGTCGTTGATATAGACTATTCAACTGGAACGAAGTTTGTTGGAATAAGTTTCACGTGGATGTAGACATAGATTTTAATATTCAAAAAATTCAGAGTTTTCTTCCAATTACTTAATTAATTATGTCATTCTCTCACAAGTATTGAGACTTTAATTCAACTAGAATTTAAAAACATCAATTTAAAATATTAAGCCTGGATTTGTGTATACATCTAGCTTCATGTATGAGAGTGACAAAAAAGTGCGTGAAAAAGAAGGATGGTAGAACGGTCGATTTTAGTTAATTTTCTTACATTCTTTTCCATTATTTGAGTTTTTGTATATTTACTTTGATAAACATGATTTCCTCGCCTTGATTTCATTTATATTTTTGACGCACAAGTTACTTTTATCTTTGAAAAAAAAAAAAACACTTTGCCCCGACTAAAGGAATGCCTTGTCTCCCTCCAACCTATTCTTCACCAAATGAAGGAAATTTTTGAACAATAAACCTTACATTATACGACCCATAATTTGTCTAAATTCTTCTAAAACTTGATTATGCATTTGCTGCTCATGTATTATCGTTGTTATGACTGGAACAAGATAATTGCAAGATGAAATAAAACAATTACAAACAAGAACACAAAAAAATTACGTGAAAACCTAAGATGTAAAAAAATCACGGACAAAGGAAGAGAATTCTCGGGGATCAAGAAACTGAATTGTTTAAACAGGATTTGATACTCTCAATATAAATCTAACGATCTTCATAAGTTTCTAATGTATTTCACAATGATTTCAATGTTACTCAAACCGGTGAAGAGCTTACACGTATATAGAAGTCTAATTTTGATGTTTTGAATGAAGTAGAATACAAGAATTCCGATAAAAATCCAATTCTGACCGAAAGATGGTGCCCAGCCCCTGCATCTAATTTTGCTGGCCGGTGCCTATACGCTGCCCCTCCTCGTGCTGTCGGCGTCAAGGCGCTGCGACCTAGCGCCCATTCGTCCCGTCTCTATCACAAGCACTTTACAAATGTTTTTACCCATTTCAAAGTTTTCATTCCAATCAAATTCTCAATCCTTGATAAAATTTGATCCATTTTCAAACCAGACTTTCAAATCAAAACTATTTAGCTTCCTTTATTAATCAACCACTCAATTGTCATGAAATTTGGGTTATATCACAGCAATTGTGACATTTGGATGTTGTTTCCACGTTGTTATTAGCTTTTGGAGTCCTCTCAAGTTACCAGATTTTGAGATCGTGAATAGCTACTGAGTTGCTAAAATATGGCATCACTGAAATCATGGTATACCGATTCATGGCATGGAAATTTATCTTTTTCCCCCTTCGAAAATAGTTCTCTCGACATTAAAAACGTCAGTCTCTCCGTTTCTGACGAATTACTGTACTTCTGTCCAAAACTTTAATGTCTCACCATCAGTGGCGGACCCAGCACTTGGCCAGGGGACGGCCCCCCGTACTGGGCTCCGCTAGACATGGTTGGTTCTGTTGCGGCTCTACCGTTCTCTTCTGATTCATCTTCCTCATTCCCTTTTTTTTTTGTTATTAGATTGGGCCGTTGCTGCCCAACCCAGCCCTTTTTTTGGTAATTAGGTTGGGCATTTGTTTTTCTGCCCAATACTTAATTACATAGGTCCAGCCCATGAGCTCAACCCTTTTTCCCCAATTGAAATTAAAATTGTTGGAAACAAAATCATTTCCTTCACTTCTAGGCTTCGATGAGATCGATGATTCCGATTTCTTGCTGAGTTTCGCCATAGCTATCCAACCGTCTTCTCCTGTCAACCGATGAATCCTTGCCACCACCGACCGTTTGCCGTGTGATTTGTGAATGAACGGCCGCAACTTCTGCTTCGCCACAATTTGTCGTGACACCGTGAGTTTTGTCATTTCTGCCCATCTTTTTTTTTTTTGTGTTATTATCTATTTATTAGTTATGAAATCATGTTATATCCAAATTTCAGTGTTGTTTCATGTATGGTTTATGAATTGGAATTGGGAGAATTGGATTTGAAATTGGGGGAAATTAAAATTAGATCTGGATTTGGAATTGGATTTAGGGTTTGGAATTGGGGGAATTGGAAATTTAGATTTGAAATTGGATTTATGAATATTAGCACTTTTCAATTTTACGTTACCAACAAAATATAATGACACTACATTCAAACTATTCTATGTAATGTTAGGTGAAACATTGGATGAAAGTTATGAATAATGTGGTTAAAAATTAGGTTTGATCAATTTTTTAGCAAACAAAAACTTCACCGAACAAGCCCTTAGTAGTTATATGGGCAATGATAATTAATACTCATTGAAAATAAATAATGAGAAACTTCTGTATACAGATTACTCCAAAATCAAGCCCTTAGTAGTTATATGGGCAATGATAATTAATACTCATTGAAAATAAATTATGAGAAACTTCTGTATACAGATTACTCCAAAACTATGATGCATTACTTTGTAAGTTTCTAACACTTAAAACATAGCACTTGAAAATATTGAGTAATTTTTAATATTATTTAATTAAATATTAATAAATGACATCGTTTTTACCATCGCTGATTGTCAATATTAATCAATCAACGTCCGCCTGAACTGAACTTCAATATTGGGTCCACCACTAGCCACCGTACATTTTGTTGTCCCCAGAGTCCCATTAGCTTTTACGCTACTTTCTCCAGTTAGGGACATTTAACATTTATTTTCCACTCCTGGAATTTGAATTAGTGGAGTGAGTTCTGATTTAACATTTATTTTCCACTACAG